TGAAACAGCTTGATGAACTACTCTCCCCACGTGTTTTAAAAATGCTAATATGCTATGCTAAATCTGCTATGCTAAATAATGATTTCTCTATAGAACTACAAAGTCCGACTGGGGGAGGAGAGTACAGGACTGCACTATGGAGGGGGGGCGGAGTTTACAGCTCCTCCTCCAGTTTAAAGAGACAGTACCCCAAAACGGCTCGTTCTCAAGACTCCTCAGAACAGGGGTAGATGAGGGTCTGTAGAGCAACAATAATGAGGAAATCAGACCAAAGAACTGCAGTTCCACTGTTTTTAGACCCCCAACTGAAGGATTTAGATGTAAAAAGGAATAACTTAAAAGCATGTTATGTCTCCTTTAACTTTGATCTCAGTGATTTGAGTTAGAAACTTTACCAGTTTCATGTTTGACGCCTCTCTGCACCAATCTGCTGACCAAAAACTGCACATGATCATTTTGTGGAGTGGGGGGATGCTCTTTGCCTGGAGATTTCTTCCTGTTAAAAGGGAGTTTTCCTCTCCACTGTTGCTATGTGCTTGCTTAGTATGAGGATTGCTGTAGTCACTGACACTAGTCAGTGACTTGATGCAATTTGCTGGGTTCCTTATGTAGGAAACTTTGTTTCTGATTGGCTTAATGAACTGACCTGAATTGGAATGTTTATTATGTGAAGTGCCTTGAGATGACTCGTGTCATGATTTGGCGCTATATAAATAAAATTGAATTGAATTGAATTGAATTGAATTGAATTGAATTAGCACTAGCTACAGCTGGGCTGTTTATGGCAATCATAATTCCACTTTCAACCAGTGGGGCAGAGGAGCAGGAAACTGCTCGCTGTTATTGTAACCATGGTTATCTACAAGGAAGCATGCAGTGCTGAATCATAAATAACTTTAAGGAGATACATTTGTTATGTTTTGATTTAGGAATGAGCAGGACAGTTACTGCATATGTGTGGCAGTGTGAGCGTCCTGTCATAGTGTCTCGATTGATCATGCTCCCCTGCTACTTGGCCAAGGGGATGTCCCTTTGGCTGACTGGTTAGCGTGCATGACTCTCACCCAGGAGTCTGGGGATCGAATCCCACTTGGGTCCTCATTTCTCCACCTTGCCACATATGGATCACATGCATCCATCTTACATTTTTCTTCTTCTCTTCTACATCTGAGTACGAGAGTATATTGACCCCTATATTAAATTGTTGTGATGAAAGCTTCAGGGTATACAGGATCATTTCCTAAAGTTGGATTAAGGCACCATCGACAATGGCCGCAGGCAGGTGTGGATGCATCTGCAGAGCAGTAAGAAGAATATTTGGACAATGGTCTGGCATCAAGAAGGGTAAAGAAGCCGCTACTCTCCATAAAAATCCTAACAGACTGATGTCTTGCAAAAAAAGTGAAGACTAGAGTTATTTCGTTTTCACTGATGAATCCCTTTTCCGATTGTTTGGGGCATCCAGAAAAAGGGTTGTCTGGAAAAGAAAAAGTGAGTCTCGTGCCAGCACTGAAATACAAATGTGGGTTTTGCTTCTCAGTATAAGGAAATAGCTAAATTTCATCTGAAAAGAACTCTTCACATCTATCCAACAAGTTTGTTGACAAACACTGTTTGGCCACACCCACCTATCCCCCACTCAGGCTGCTATAAGCGAAGAAGCTCCAATATCTGGGAGGGGCTCAGAGTGGATCCACTGCTCCTCCAGCAGAAGCTCTCTCTTGTGAGTGAAAAGTGGTTCTGTGTTAATTTCTTAGTTTGTGACATCACAAATGGGAACGTTTTGAAACAGCTCGCTTTAGGCGCACAACTCCTAAAAACCAAATACTGACAGAAAGCTGACGGATGGATTTTTTTTCACATTTGGAGTATGGAAAATGCAATCAAGACTCACATGGCAGCACAATGCAAAACGTGATTTTTGCATAATATGACCCATTCAAACCATTTTTAACAAAGTTTCAGTGTCTAAAATGTCTCTTATTTCATTTTAATTCAGTATGACTCAAACACAGTGACAGGACATTAAAAAAACTCTTGCTTTGAATTGCTCCCCTTTAAATACTCCCTTGAAGTCTGTTTCTTCTATATATATTTCATTTAAACATTTGTTCTCCAGTTGAGCCATTTCAGAAATTTAATTTGAACATTTGCCAACTATTTATTAATCGTTGTCCGTCACTATCTTGTTCAAAGCATTTCTTGTATTTGTTTTTTGCCCAAAGTTTTTTTTTTCTGCAAATGTTTTTGCTTGATGTTTTCCCTTCCTTTTATTGAATCATTCAGCTCTGGGATCACCCAGGGTCCAAAGATCAGCACCGGGGTCATGCATGCAACCACTAGTCATGCAATGAATCTGAGATACTCGGATCCCCTGGGGAAACACTCTAGTGATGTCTGAATAACAAGAACTCCACATCTTTATAAAATCTCATCAATTCTTTAGACTTAAATGGAATTCACTCACTATAATAGATTATCACAAGCTCAGACTCAACTAAAAAAATCTGTACACTTTTAATGACCAGAGTTCAAGAGTGGTGTTTAGAATTGCATGCAGAAAAGACTCAATTCTGTTCGTGAACTCACAAAACACGTGTTTGTAAAGTTTGCACTCGACCCTGGCTGTTTGAAGTCTCTGTGTGGCTTCAAGCACTGAATCCTTTTCTTAATCCAATGCTCTTTTCTTCCTGCAACGTGAGACCTTTGATGGGAGTGCTGGCTAGAAAATAGGTGATCAAAGCAGGACACTTGTCCCTCAGGTTCAGAGGAAAAAGCTGAGGTGGCCTTCGCCCTGGGGAAATTAGAGGAAAATGTAGGTTTCTGATGGCTTTATTAAAAGGTCAAATATTCCAGTGAAACTCCGCCACGGTCAAAAGGAATTGGCTGGAGGAAAGTTGCAACTCTTGTTTTTCTCCATTAGCGATTAATGGTAAGTGGACCGTATTTGATGTAGCACCTTCTAGAGTCCAGAAACCCCCCCAAGGCGCTTTACAACACAATCAGTCATTCACCCATTCACACACACATTCACACCCTGATGGGGATGAGCTACGATGTAGCCACAGCTGCCCTGGGGCGCACTGACAGAGGCGAGGCTGCCGTACACAGGCGCCACTGGTCCCTACGACCACCAGCAGGCAAGGGGGGTTAAGTGTCTTGCCCAAGGATACAACGACAGCAAGTGGAGCTCGAACCTGCAACCTTCCGATTATGGGGCGAGAACTTAACTCCTGAGCCACCGTTGTCCCACTGTGGCACTTAGATGTGTGACCTAAATCTCCTTAAACATCTGTGCCGGATACTTAACACAATATTAATTTAATAAAGCATATCAATTGAAATGATGAGCATTACAGTGTCTGCATGACACAATCATAGGAGTAAAGATTACATTTGCCAGATAAAAATTACACTTCAGTTTCAAGCTTCCTCTTCTTTATCTGCAACCAACTTCCAGTTTTTCTGCACTCAGTGAGCTTCGGAAGAGGTCAAAGGTCTTCGGTTCTCACTCGTTCATTTTGCCGTTCACATCAATGCCTTCATCAGAACGTACAAGAGATCAATTTAGAAAGACACGGCCCTACATTCATGATTTGTTTAAATATTTCATGTCCCAACATGGAAATGCAACTCATCACTGGGGTTTTTGAGGATTTCTCCCAGAAGAGGGAAGGGGAAAGTTCCAATCTCCCATCGGATTTTTCTTGTTAGGCAGTTTAGGATTTACTTTAAAGTAAAGTTTGGCGAGGATGCGCATGCAGGTCTCTTTAAACCGAGGCTTTGAATTAAACAAACCAGACATTTCAAGCTAAGTATTTTCTATGCTGAAAATCATGTTATGGTTAAAAAGAAAAATTCATTATATGTATGTATATATATATATATATATATATATATATATATATATATATATATATATATATATATATATATATATATACACACACACCAGAGTCCTTCAGGTATGCTTGAATCTAAGAAAAACATTATTTTTTTACGCATGACTTTCAGCTAAATCGAGCCATAGATCCACATCTGGATTGACTCAGATATTTTTCAGTCATATAAAAACATCTGATTATTACTTTCCAAGAGTTACATGAAAATCTAGAAGTTTGTTAGACGTTTTAGTTCCAAACAAACAGGTTAAACTCATAAATTTAACGCTAAAGTTGAGCAAAGATTTCAATGGAAGTGTAAGGCTTAAATATCTGATAAAAACTCATTTTAACCACAAAGACACAAACATTTCACTAAACTCCTGTAAAATTAACTTCATTAGCCTCTTTTTGCACTTCATAAGGTCAGTTCTTTGTAGCGGCAATTTTAAATTAGGTTAAATAGTTGTGGATGTTTGTGTAATGATTACTTTCAGGAAATTTCATTAAAAGGGCATTAAGAGGGCTTTCTGCAGGACTGCACACAGCTGGGACACAGCATGTTGTTGCTCTGGCAGTTGGTTCACTACATGTTGTCAACTTTGCACACTTCTATATATAAAAAATTGCATTTGTGCATGTAAAAGCAAACTGCATTTTGCAAAAATCACCAAAAACTGATAAGCCGATAATGAAAATATTAATTTTATATATAAAAAAAGAAATAGAAAACCATTTTTGCAAAATAACGCCTGAAATGTTTCTTTTATTTTTTGTTTCTGTTGTTCTTTGTTAAAATTTCCAACAATGCATGACAATGATATTTATCAGATATCTTTTTTTTATCTTATCTCATCTAACAACCAGCTAGCAGACTAAACCGCGTGGTTTCTTTTTCCTCCTGCTGAGTGTAACTCTAACCCTGCAGCCGAACAGAAAGAAGAAAACCCCAAACTGTGGTTTGCTAAAACCCAGAAGGAACTGGGTCATGTCCAGCTGTTAGTGCACTGCAGACATACCATATGCACCAAAAAGCTGTTCCTCACTTTCTGATAGGCTACTGTCTGCTGTGATGTCATCAGGGCTTGTTTATATTAAGGGTGACAGGCTCAGCTGCTTCAAAGTGTGGCTGACGGCTGAAAGACCGTGTTCATGCACGAGTGGGAGCAAAGAGGAAGAGGGAGTGTGTGTATAACGCACAATACGAGGATTTACACCTCAGAAAAAGTGGAGAAGAAGCAGCCTGCAAAGACAATTCAGAGATGTTGTGGATTTAAACGCTGTGGGAGAATGAAATCAGAGGAGTGAAGAAGAGAGAAAAGCCTGGAGGTAAGAAAGCAAATGCTGCAAGTCTGTTTTACATATGTATACTTCACACACACACATACACACACACTGCTCCCATGGGTGCATTTACATATACATAAAGATCCACTTATGATGACACTTATGAACGAGTATGAGAGGTTGAAGCAGTTTAAGTCATATTTTAAGTGCAAAATTAAAGTGTAAAGAGCAAAAAATTTATGATTTTCTTTTTTTCTTTTTGCAAAAAGTGTCGCATGTCAGCATCTGTGCCACAAAGATGCAACAAACCCAACTAAAGTATTGATAAATTTGAGGCTTTTTTTTTCTCACATCTTTATCATTTAAACATAATAGCTTATTTCCTTCTTGCTATGGCAGGCAAATGGATGAAAAGTACGCTTTTTGCCTTTTCCCCAGCAAATCCAAACTTCCTTTCATCTCTATCAAATGTATTTTATATGATCTGGGCAGGAAAACACCATGTCTTGTTATCACAATGTTTGAGCTTTTTACACAGTGTTCTGCTGACATCTGCTTATCCTGCTAAGTAGAGCAACAGCTAGGTGTTTGAGGAGATTATGTCGTTTATACAAACTGGCGACTGTTTGTCTCCAGTGTGCAGAACTTTACGCACTTTCTGTGCACGGAGTGGTTGATTTAACTGCATTGCTGAGCCACTTCTGGTGACGCATTGGTGTCTTTCTGGTTTGATTTTGAACCTCAGGGCTGCTTCAGCTTCTCTGTGTTTATTTAAAATTTTCAGGCAGGGAGACAGCCAGACTTTGTGGTGCAAGTTGTATTATCCAAGTCGACAGCTAAAATTGTTATTGATCTGATTTGTGGGTGCAGCGAACAGTTACAAATCCATATGAGAGCGCAGGAGTTGACTGTTCAGAAAGTAATTGAGTGATCCAATAAACAGCCGTCACTGCTAAAGCTTGGGTAATAAAGATCAATGGTGAATGTGTGTGTGTGTGTGTGTGTGTGTGTGTGTGTGTGTGTGCGTGCGTGCGTGCGTGCGTGCGTGCGTGCATGCATGCGTGTGTGTGTGTGTGTGTGTGGTTATCATCTGTCAGAGCCACTCTACTCTACCTCATTCATTACTGCTGAAACGGCCACTTGAACGCTGGTAATGAAAGATTGATTCCAAAAAACGAGTCCGCGGATAACTTTCCAGCCGCTCCATCGTGTTTATTTCCCTGACACAGGATATTCTCTGAATTCAAATGTGCGTCCAGCAGGGACGGCTCACCATCAACTTACCACTGCCGAACTAAGTGATTGGCGATGCCGATGCTCATGATAAACATCAGAGGGCCTTTAGCCTCACTGAGCAGCATTGTTTACACGGAAAACAGTTTATTCCCCCTCTGGGGCAATTTTTATAAAACAGCAACCACGCAACGGCTCGTGCTGGGATTCTAAAACACATTCCAAATTTCAGCTCGCTGCTGACCAATGCAGAGCAGGGTAAACACTTTTAATAGATGCCATCTGATTTTATTCCAGATGCTTTGATTTGCAGGAATAAAGCCAATTTACAGTTTAGGCCAAGTGTGTGAGCACACAGGAAAACACCGCAGCCTTTTAACCATTCGTAGAAAAACTTAGCAAACAAAAAGACTCTGCAGCCTTTGAGGCGAAAACCTAAAAGCTCCTTGCGCTGTAAGTATCTCCCATTTACGAGGACTTACCTGTCCCGAATTGTTTCTGACTACTGGACAAACCATCCCCCCGATGTTTAATGTGAGCAGTCAGAATAGCAAACAAGGAACACCATGTGTCTGCTGTCAGTCCATCTCTGTGAAAGAGCCCTTGTGCTCAGTCAACCGGCCGTATGCAAATAAAAGGGTTTTGTTTTACGCATGCATGATGGAAAATAAATAAATGCACATAAAACCAAAAGGTTATGGCTGTGGTCTGATGCAATAAATGTCACATTGTGTGGCTACATGCAAATGTGTGCACGCAGTGTTCTAGCTTGCAAATCACATCCAGCACAATAACAGCCAAAAGGGTAAATTTCAGTACCTGAACTCGGTCTACACCAGCACCGCTGCCCTTTCCTAACCACCACGCATCACGCATATGTCACTGTTGCTATAGACCTTTACAAGCCCTGATCTTCTACTGCTTCAGCCTGCGAGCTTTCTGTGGACTTCAATAAAATGTTCAGGTCACAGGCTGAAAGCAAAGTGTGCTCTCTGATCTGTGAAACGTGCGAGGAAGCTATTTTGTTGGCCTGATGGCTCGACAGTCTGAACAGGAACCTTTATTTCCTGCTTCTTCTTTATCACGGATAGTGGTAACGTTTGTCGCCTGTATGTTTCCATGTGTTTGTGTGTTGTTGAGAAATCTCATGAGCCACTGGACAGATTGTGACGAAACTCTCAAGTTGACTTTATTGGTTGTTCATCAACAATTGCTAGCTCTTGGAGCCCCAATTAAAGATGGCCGAAGACTCACATTCAAATAGTATTCAAAAATCGGGATGTAAGCAGGGAAGGTTCTGGACTAACATTAGAGGAAGGCCAGACACGTTTGTAAAAAAAAAAACATTACCTGAAAGAGGTCCTTCGCTCATATAGTGGTATGGAAAGTGTTACGACCCCCACCATGTTTTCACTTTTTGTTATAGTGCAGCCATTTGCTAAAATCAATTAAATGCATTTGTTCCTCATTAATGTACACACAGCCCCTCATGTTGACAGAAAAACACAGGATTTCATAAATGTGTGCTGATTTATTAAAAAAGAAAAACTGAAATATCTCATGGTCCTAAGTATTCAGACCATTTTTTTTTTCAGTATTTAGTAGAAGTTCCTTTTGAGCTAAAACAGCCATGAGTCTTCTTGGCAAAGATGCAGCAAGTGTTTTACTCCTGGATTTGAGGATCATCTGCTATTCCTGCTTGCAGATCCTCTCCGGGTCTGTCAAGTTAGGTGATGAACGTTGGTGGACGGCCGTTTTTAGGTCCCTCCAGAGATGCTCAATTGGGTTTCAGTCAGGGCTCTTGCTGGGCCATATAAGAACAGTCACAGAGATGCTGTAAAGCCATTCTTTGTTATTTTAGCTGTGTGCTCAGGGTCGTTGTCATGTTGGAAGGTAAACCTTTGGTCCAGTCTGAGGTCCTGAGCACTCAGGAGAAGGTTCTTGTCCAGGATCTCCCTGTACTTGTCCTCATTCATCGTTCCCTCGATTGCAACCAGTTGTCCTGTCCCTGCAGCTGAAAAACACCCCCGCAGCATGATGCTGCCACTGCCATGCTTCACAGTGCCTGGTTTTTCCCACACATACCGCTTAGAACTAAGCCCATAAAAATCTATCTTGGTCTCATCAGACCAGAGAATCTTATTTCTCACCATCTCAGAGTCCTTCAGGTGTTTTTTTAGCTAAGTCCATGTGGGCTTTCATGTGTCTTGCACTGAGGAGAGGCTTCCTACGGGCCACTCTGCCATTAAGCCCTGACTAGTAGAGGGCTGCAGTGATGGCTGACCTTCTACAACTTTCTCCCATCTCCTGACTGCATCTCTGGAGCTCAGCCACAGTGATCTCAGGGTTCTTCATTACCTCTCTCACCAAGGCTCTTCTCACCCCGGTAGCTCAGTTTCGCTGGACGGCCTGCTCTAGGAAGGGTTCTGGTCATCCCAAACATCTTCTATTTAAGGATTAAGGAGGTCACTGTGGTCTTAAGAACCTTAAGTGCAGCAGAAATCTTTTTGTAACCTTGGCCAGATCTGTGCCTTTCCGCAATTCTGTCTCTGAGCTCTTCAGGCAGCTCCTTTGACCTCATGATTCTCATTTGCCCTGATATGCATTCTTCTTCTTCAGTTAAGATGGCAGGCTGAATGCCCACAAGGCGTAGGCCTACTGCTGCCTCAGTAACGTTGGCACAGAGTCCAAGACTAATCACAGCCTCCCATACACACCAATCTTCAGAAGAAAAACCAAAAGCGCCCCCACCCTACGCCAATCTTCCACCCCCAACAAGGTCCATAGACTAAACACAGTGTGCCTGGTTCAGCATGGAGAATTCAGCCAGAGGAGACAGTAGCTTCAGACGGCAGGATTTGGAGTCTTATTTCCTGATATTTGGACATCTCGCGATTCCCGCCTCTGATTGGCTAACATCAACACAACTCTGCCACTGACTCCGTTTGCTCTGCTCTTTTGTAGAGATAAAATATAAATATAATTTTATCTCTACAAAAGAATAAAAGCCAGGAGGAGTTTTAATCCTAGATTTTCGTCATCTGTTTTCTATCAGAAGCTGATGCAGGAGATTGGTGTAGGAGACTATTTTCACATTCAGCCTGCACGTTAAACTCCGAGTGACCAATCATTTAAAAAAATAAGGAAAAAATGGTTTCTCTGTGAAGGACTGTCATGAGTCGGGGTGAGTACTCCTGTCGCACATTCCATCTTTGAGTTGTTTTTCAGGAGAGGGAGGCGCCCAGCTGCTTCTGGTTAGCAATCAACGGCACTGGAGAACACACCTCGACGTGGGATGATTACTACTGCCCGGAATTTTGGAGAGTCTCTGGTGAAGGAACTCTTAGGATTCTCTAAACTCGTCAGGATACTCGCCGCCTCTACAGAACCTTCTGGACGCAGCTTCCCAGTGTTCTCCATCTCTCCAGTCGCTCCACTCCTCTGCTTCCCACTCGCTCCCTCTCCTGGATATACACACCTCGACTCACCCAACTCTCGACCTGCCCCTCCCTATTCCTCCTCATCTCCTTTGCCCAACGCTGAGTACGGACTTTACTCCATCCACTGGAAGCTCCAGTGCGCTTTTTGTTCCCGTTTATTAATAAATTCCTTATTTTTGATCATTATAACTGTGAGTGTGTTGATTCTGCATGTCCTGGGTTAAAGTCCTTCCCCAGACCATGTCCAGGACATCTTTAAAGTATTTGAATTTATTGAGTAATTACAATAATTCAACAATGCCTCTTTAGTTATTGTTATTTTAATTGTGTTGACATCTGAGTTTTTTACCTCACTCAGTGACAACACGGTTATTGTTGTCTAAGCATCTTTAATTCAGATAAATTCATTCCCATGCCTCCACACAGGCTAAATTAACTCAAAAAATCAGTACTTATTATTATTTAAACTCTGCCTTCAGCGGGGGGGGGGGCTCCAAGTTCATTGTCAGGGTGGCTCTGGCCCACCCTGGACCCCTCCTAGAACCGCCCCTGGGTTTTAGTAGCTGAAAGTCACCACCCTCATAGTGCGCCTATTTATTACCGATAAGTAGGTTGAATTGCAAGGATGAGTCTTGTTGTGAATTGGTGCTACGTAAATAACCTGAATTAAAATGAAACAGTTCTCTTTCGGTCAGCCATGTCTGCCACCAACATCAATCCTAAACATCTGTACAGATTATAATTATTTTTATTTGTTTTAACCTTCTGAGTTCTGCATCCTGGTATGATAAAAAAAGATTATTAGCTCATATCTGTTTGCATCTTTAATTGTTGAATTTTTATTTTAAACTGTTTAATTGTTTATGAGGTCTTATTAATCCCAAATAGCTAGGTGGCATAAACAGTACAGTCTAAACAAAACGCAGGTTTGAGATAAGGAAAAGTTGGCATGAAAATTTTAGGTGAGCTTAATAAGGATAAAATAATGTTATTGGAAATTAATATTGCAAAAGAAAAATAATACAAATACGCACTCAGCTTAGCCTGATGAACTCAACAAACCGCATAGCTTCCTTTATGAAAGGTCACCAACGATAGGCCCAGCAGAAGACATTCTCGTCAATTAATTAAACTTTCCTTTGAATGTTTAGGCATTTTGGGATCTTTGCCAGGAAGAAATACCTACTTATGTATAAACAGCAAATGCTACGTAGTCCATCTGTAACCATAGCGAGTGAGTGACACAATCATCGGTGTCCAGACATGAGCAGAAACACATTATGATGTGCGAGTGGTGCCTTCAAGTGCACTTGTTGCAGGAGCCGCCCCTCCTTACTCACCACTAAAACCAACTTCCTCTCACAGCCTTTACTTGATAATTTATCAAAGCAGCTTCAACTATGTCACGTTTCTGTGAGAAAGGAAGGGAAATGGATGACCTTGTTGAGTTTTCATTATCAGATCTATGCAGACTGATATTTGTAAAAGCAATCATGCAAATAAATTGACTAAAGAAGAAAACAGCATTAAACTCAAGACTAACAACACTAACAAATTGTTAATTGTTTTTCTTTTTCTTTCCGATTGCTGCTCCGCCTGATCTGCTCCATTCAAAACGTTTCTGCATGATATTGTGTACCAAATGCACCAAAAGTTATATGTTTTGTTTGTTTTGACAGTAGATCATGGCAGGTGTGACCTCTATGTCAGCACCGATCAACCAGACTCAGCTCAGCATCACCACCCAGGCCTCCAACACATCAACTGCACCAGAACACAGCGATGCAAACCTCGTGCTGCTCGGTGCTGCCATGGCTGTTCTCGTCCTAGTCATAGTTTTTGGTAAGCAGCTAACCGTAACCCTCAATTCAAGGAATGTCGAAGGACTAAAACCAAATCTAAATATAATTCCTTCCATGCAGGTAATGTGTTGGTGATTACAGCCATCCTGAGGTTCCAGCGGCTCCAAACAATCACCAACCTCTTCATCGCCTCCCTGGCCGTGGCTGACCTCATCATGGGTGTGGTCGTGGTCCCCTTTAACTCCAGTAACATCCTGCTAAACGAATGGAAGTTTGGAAACTTTATGTGCGACTTCTGGACAGCGACTGATGTATTGTGTGTGACGGCAAGCATAGGAACACTGTGCGTGATCGCCATGGACCGGTACCTCGCCATCACATTGCCGCTGCGCTACCCAATGCTGCTGACCAGGTAAATCAGGATAATTACAGAAAATGTTCTAAGTACGGTCCGGTTTGTTCAGCTTATTATCGATTTAAACCTTCTTGACATCTGGATTTTGTTGGGTGTGGTCAAAAGTTCAGCTTAGTGGAAAATGTCCACCCATTAACCCATTAAGGCCCAAGGCACTCTCTATAAGCAGTCACACTCACCTGCCCCATCAGGTGTTAATGGGTTAAACTAGGCCCTGGTGAGCTCTCCACCCTTCCTCCAGCACAGATGTGTTCCTCTTCCTGTCTGAAGTTATTTCAGAAACAACCCGGAGCTGTCCTCCTCGTGCACGTCAGTGTCTGTTCAGAGATGAAGTTATGCATCAACAAATGTGATAAAGCTAAATAAGTCAGATTATAACTGCATGCCGTTGTAGTGGATGAGATCTGAAAAATGAAAAGAATCTGAAGGTGTGGCGTTACAAAGTGGTGAGGTCGTCTGACTCCCTTCTTCTTTGCTGGAGGCCAAGAGGCTTGAGGTCACACCAAAATGACAGAACTAGGATCGAGTATGGTTCGCTGAATCAGCATATACTTTTTTACTTTGATGTGCACAGTCAAGAATTACTTCCTTTAAGGGGACTTTGTCTTTTTTACAATAAGTTCCAACTAATTTTTGAAAAGGTTATTGGTTATGGCTAAAGTTGTGTGGGAGCTGCTTTATTTACACATAAATAGATAGAACAGCTTAATTAGAGATTCACGAGGGAAATAGTTCTTAATGCTCCTTAAAAATTCATTGAGCCAAAATAGATTTTCTAGACATATTATTTTTATATAGACACGTGGTAATGCAGTTCTCCCTTAAAGGGGTGTTTTAGATCAGTTATTTGGTCAGAGTGATCTCAGTTTGGAGAATCATAGAGAAGTTCAAGCAATCAGCTGATTGAAAACATCTAAAACAATTCAAGCAGTTAAGCATTTTGGGTCTGTTTGACACATTTCCATTATGCATTTACATGTAACACGTTGCTACAAAGTGCAGTTTGTAAAATAAAGGTCATGTAAACAACTCTGCATCCAGAAGTTGACTACCATGCTCTCGTGCACTAGCCTGGCAAGCCATCCTACATGTGTGAATATAATGAACAAAATCATTTTGCTTCGACAAATGACGGTCTAGTTTCTAGGCTACTTGTGAACCGCTGTGACAGTTGCCCTGTCTTTGCTGTCTGAAGTTAGCTGTGCTATGGACTCCAGTCTGATTCGCTCAATTCCTTCATGAGAACATCTCCCCGTTTCTCCAAACTGAGATTTTCATGACTTAACAGACCCCGGGTAACAGTTAAAGATAAAATCCAAAGCACTCTTTCACCATTCTTTCTAGAACACCTCCTAATTTGATCTTATCTTAACATTTCCCTTCACAGATCTATGAAAAAACATTTCTCATTCTGCCTCTCCCTTCCCAAGCATTGTTCAGGCATTTATCTGATGACAGTATATATGTTTATGACGTGCTTTATATATTTTATATGGCAAATTTGACCCATGTGGCAATTGTATCAAGCCCATAAGCATGGACGTAATTTTCACTTTCGAAGTGGGGGGGACACGGGGAAGGGGGGGGGGGGGGATCAGTATGCTCTAATGGAAAACAGGCTTCAACACAAATGGTTGTTTTCCGCTTGGTCCTAGAGCTCAACCAGTGTCAATTTAATATAGCGTAATGTTGTTTTTGGGTGGTAAAAAGTGCAGGGGTCAAAACGTGACTTTGGAAAAAGTGGGGGGACATGTCCCCCCCCCACCCCCCCCACCCCCCCCCACCCCCACCCCCCACCCCCCCCCCCCCCCCACCCCCCCCACCCCCCACCCCCCCAAAATTACGTCCATGCCCATAAGACAGCTGAAGTATAATCAGGCCATGGTTGGGCAGTGCAAAAATCATCGAAACCGCTAATCCCAGAATGCACTGGAAGTGGTAGAGCCATCATAATCCCAGCTGCCCTTCAGAGGCTTCATCCCCAGGCACGTTTTTAAATGTAAAAGACCAATAAAGCTGAAGAACTGTGGGTTTAACCTTTTTTTTTCAGATTTGTCTTAATATTTGAAGTAGGAAGTTCAAAAGCTGATTTTTTTTTAAAATAGTGTAGAAAAAAGAAAGCAAAGGAAGAGGGACTTTTTATGTTATTTTAAGTTAATCATATTTTTTACTGCAAATTAAAGCTTTGGTAATGTTGAAAAAAGAATGAGTTAGCATGAGCTGCCTGGAAGAAGATGTTTTAATTAGGCCCCCCTTGAAGTTGAGTTTTACTCCCCAAGAAGGTCATAGGGTTAGGGTCTGGCGTCATCTTCGGTTGATGGGCAAGTGAATAATTATGGATCTCAGAAATATCAAAAGGACTAAATGGCAATGGCAACAAACAGATGTAGGAAATGATTTATGATTTCTTCTAAAACAAAATGAGTTTATTTCTGTTTATTGGGTTTTACAGTTGTAGATAGCCATCATGCATTTTAAACCAACACAGGAAATGTCACTGACCTGCAGGCTCACAAAGGTTTTCTTGTGTTTTGATGGTGTCCAGGGGTCGGGCGTTCGTGGTGGTGCTCACTGTCTGGACGGTGGCTTCCCTCATCTCCTTCCTGCCCATCTTTTTAAAGGTGTGGGTGTCAGACGACGCACGTGCCATTGAATGCTTGAAAAATGAGAACTGCTGTGAATTTTACACCAACAAGGAGTATGCCGTATCCTCATCGATTGTGTCGTTCTACCTGCCGCTGCTGGTGATGATTTTCCTCTACAGTCGAGTATTCCAGGAGGCTCAGAAACAGCTGGAGAAGATCAGGGGCAGAGAGAGACATTTTTACAATCTGCACAATTCTGCACAGATGACTTATCCAGATGACAGCCCTGCACTGAGTAAACACAGAGCAAGAAGTGATGTGGAAGAAACGGCAGGGGAGGACAGCTTAAACATGCAGCAAACGGTAGATAGAGACGCTGTTAAAGAAGGAAAAGGGGAGGAAAACAGAGCAAGGACAGAAAAGGGGGAAGGAAAGCAGTCGGCCGCAAAACGTCTTAAGTTTTGTCTTAAAGAGCAGAAGGCTGTGAGAACTCTGGGAATCATCATGGGCACTTTCACATTATGTTGGCTCCCTTTTTTTATCCTCAATATTCTCATAACTTTCCTCGACCTTGGTGACATTACTGTACTATTCCGACTCCTCAACTGGCTAGGGTATTCCAACTCCGCCTTCAACCCATTCATCTACTGCCGCAGCCCTGATTTCAGGCACGCCTTCCAGGAGATACTCCATTTAAGGGCCAAGGGAGGAGGCTGGGGAAGGACGGGAGCATGTGGGTGGTGCAGTGTGAAACAACGGTTTTCCAAACCTTCTCAAAGACACAACAGAAACACAGACTTAGACAGAAATATTGGGCTGGACAGTCTGCAGACGTCAGAGTGGAAAGTGACTCTGGAGAGCTCAGTTCCAGACAGCTCACTGACAATTGCACTACCAACATCTGAGCAAGTTCTCGACGTAGCTCCTGGTTCCTTATCCGGCTGGCAGGCTAAGAGCTCTGGAAGTTGGACCTGTAAGGACAATCTTGCTTCAATCGCCTGACCAAATATTAGATAGAAGCTTAAATTCGGAGTCTGTGCAAAAACATTCTATGTAATAAAATAACAGGTTTGAAGATTTCATGCTTAATGGTATGGGATGCAGAGTGCAAATTGTACATGCAAATGATTGACCAGACAGATTTTTGGGGGGTATTTAGTTCATATTTTCCTGTTTTAGCACGCTTTCATCACATTTGAAGTGTAAATTGCCTAAAAATGGTTATGAACAAACATGTTTACATTTCATTTAATTTCAGCTAAATAAACATTTAAATCAAAATCCATCCATCCCTTTTCTTCCGCTTCCCCAACCTTCGGCTTTTCCTCTCCCCAGCCACTTGGGCCCGCCCTTCCGGGGGAATCTCAAGGCGTTCCCTGGCCAGGTGAGAGACACTGGCCCTCCAACATGTCCTGGGTGTCTCTTTAGGCCTCTCTCGGTTGGACGTGTCCAAAAAACCTCAACAGGGAGGCGTCCAGGTTGAAATATTAAACCAACATTTTTAAGACATTTAAATTTAAATGTTAAATCTAAACCTAAATGCTTATAGTTGTGCTTCATTGGGCATCTTAGCAATGGTAATAGCAAAAAAGTATATTTTTATATTTAGAATTTAGATTTAGCTTTAAGAGTCAGTTTATATTTAATATTTAGATTGAAAATTAGAATTTAGCCTTATCATTTAATTTTGAATTAGAGTTTTGATTTAGATTCAGCATTTACTTTTAGACATACCATTAGCATTTAGAATTAAAACTTTGATTTCACATTTAAATTTGTATTTGCAGTTAGATTTAGATTTTAATATTTCAATTTTAGATTTAACATGTAGGTTTATAATTAGAAGTTAAATTTTGATTTAATATTTAGATTTAGCTTTTAGTTTTAGATTACGCATTTGCATTTAGATATAGAATTTCAATTTAGCTCTAACTATTTGATTTAGAATTAGAATTTAGAGTTAAATTTAACATTTTAAATTTAGGTTTAACATTTAAATTTGAATTAAACATTTAGATTCAGATTTTAAGATTTAGAACTTAGATTTAACATTTAAATTTAGAATTTGAATTTAGATTTAACATTCAAGTTTAGATTTAAGATTTTGGTTAGTTGAATTAATGTTAAATGTAAACATGGTGATTTATAACATTTTTTAGACCATTTCTGTTTTAAATGTAATGAAAGTGTGCTAAATGTAGTTTATAATACTAAAAAAATGGTCTGGTTCATCTTTTGCTCGTATAATTTATTCTTGGCATCCCACCTAAAGGTTGCTTGGTGATGTATCGTCAGTGTTACTGTGGTTTTGTATGTGGTCTTTGTTCTTCTCCTGCTAAACTAACCGAATTATTGAGGCCAGCCTAGCCTCCGATTAACTGTTTACATTGATCCAAAGCACAATGTTTGTTACACCAGGAAATTGAGAACTTTCGAGACAATTTTAAAACTTCATTGAGAATGCCATTTAAAATGTGTCACCAGTAGTTACAACCCAGTGAGATGCTGGATTATACAGGGTAATGCTACGGGAAAAATCTAAGATTTCCCCTTTGTGCTGGACTAAAGGATCACTTCGAGTTCTTTATGTGAGACTGGGTCACACAGGCAGCTTGTTAAGCACACTGAACGGTATCGTTGTTCTAATCAAGTTAAAGGAGTTTTGGAGGAATAGTTCGATTTCAAAGAAATCATTAACAGGTCACGCTCAAGCAGTAATTCACCTACATGTGCATGGTAAACAACCACCATCCATTTGTAACAAAGCCGCACATTTAGACTAAAATCTTCCTGAAGAAGAGAAAACAAACTGAACTCCATCAACCCAAAAGCACTAATGCAGATCTCACTTCAGGCTTATTTATGATTAGATGATGAAGGGCAGTTTGTCTGTTTTAAACTCCTTAAACCTCAACATGATCTACTGTGGAATATTTGTGTTTGAGATAAGCATCTGAGACCTAAACCTGTGACTCTCAGATGGTTCTTTCTTCTCTTTCTCCCTGTTTGCTTATTTTCCATCACTTGCTTATTCCCTGGATCTTTTTCCATTGCCTCCACAAACCCTCACCATGAACCTGCACTTCCCTTCTGCTCCATATGTTTCAGCTCTACAAACACTGCAATCTGTCAAACGGAGCTGGGGAGATCTTTATCGCGCGGTTATTTCTGTTAAATCATCTTAAAATCGAATTCAATCGGTTTACACAGATTTAAGTGCTTACTCCAAATGCACTGGTCTGAGCGGAAACTTGGCTGTGATACTAATTCAGTCTGATTTGTTTTATTCTATAAAATCAATTTCGGCTTGTTGTGTGTCTGTAAAACTTCCTGAAACTGTCAAACATAATTTCAAAAAAAAAAAAAAAAAGAATCCCTCTTGTCTTAAATAAAATCTGAATCATGAAACACAGTAAAATGTTAATAAAATCTCCACGTTTGGATATGTAAATGTTTTGTGCACATGTGATTATTGTGGTTGATTGTAAAATCTGAAGTGTAAAACATACTTAATTCAAGCAACATATTGGTACCTTGACATGTGGGTAAGTGTTGGTGTCTGTTTTACTGTCTTTTTTTAAGTAGAAAACCAAAAACTGTCAGAACCTAACCATAAATACCTACTTACCCCGTCTTTCCACCGAACGCGAAAGCGGCGTGTAATGAAATAGAGGCCCTGAGGTCCCTAATCTAGAGTGCTTCTGACGCAAAACGGGAGCAAAAGCGTTTCACGCTGTCGGTTCAGCAAAGTCACAAAATCGCGGGAGAATTTCAACACCACACAGGGGTTTAACAGGAAATGCACATGATTTTTATTTGTTTATTTTGAAAGTTTCTACCGTAATTTCCGGACAATAGAGCACACCTCAATTTAAGCCGCACCAGCAAAAAAAAAGTTTTCTACACACACACACACCGCACTCAAATACAAGCCGCGGCGCAGCAGCCACATGCAGGTCTCCGGCGCACAGCGCATGTATGGCCATGACATAAGATAATTAGACAGAAAGACGCTACACGGAAGTTTTTTGTTGTTGTTTAGAAAAGAAAACAGCACTGATAGCATTCATACTTCTGGATGGTTATAAAATAAAAACAGAACTGACACGTTATTACTGGTAATTTGCATGTTTAGGAGAAAAGAACAGCGCTGGCACAGCATTAATAAGCCCTGGGTGATTAGAAAATAAAAACTGCACACAAAACATGCCTGGTTAGTAATGATCTGCACAGTGGAAACAGTGGAAACCCCTTGGCTGTCTGCCCTTTGTGTGTTCACTCAGTCTTCAAGAATGTTTTCCAATTCCGGCCATCTGCTTTTATCTCCTCTGAAAGCTTTTGTCGTTTTTTTTACATTGACTCAGTTCTTCCCGCTGCTGCCTCCAGCGCCAAACCATGGATTAATCCATGCCAAGCTTACGTGCGGCAGCACTGTTTCGGCAGGTGAAGGAAAATCTTCGGTAAAGCCGCACCTCATTATAAGCCGCATGGTTCAAAGCGTGGGAAAAAAGTGCGGCTTATAGTCCAGAAAATACGGTAGATGTATTACACTGTTTTTGTGTCTGACTTCCTGTCTGGCCCCGTCCAGAACGCTACACTTTAGGTGGAAAGGAACTTGATCACGATAACGAAGGCAAATTGCCGCGTAGTACGTTTCGCGGCCGTTTCTCCACGCTTTCACATCCGGTGAAAGGAAGGGGTGAGGCTAAATGTTTTACAATTGTGTCCACATTGAAGTTACAAAACAAAACTTGTGTTTGCTTTGCAGAAAATGAAATTTCTTGTTAGAAGAAAATAATTGTCATTTTCTACCTCCATTAGTCGAGTGAATGTAATCTCAGTGCTGTAAATATTTATTTGTGAGCTGTAGTTGTACATGTTTATAAGTAAAAAGAGAAAGTTTGAAACAATGTAATTTAAATATGTTGTTTGTTCTTTATTTATGAGACAAGTTCCCTGGAATTAATGTTTTTTATAGCTGGAAATTCATGAGTCAAATAAAAGATCATGTTTTTGACCAAAGCCACAAAGAAAGCTTTCGTTTCCCACTGGGTGCTGTAAAATTTTCGATGATTCGATTCTGGTTTTATTTTATTTTATTCTTTTTAATAATCAGGAAATCTGACTTTAGGAAATGTGATTCACATGATGCTGCACCTTTAACCTTTCTAACTAAGCTCAGGAGACAGAGGCTGTTTGTGCTTATTCAGTCATCCCAGTTATTTAATCAGACTCAGCTTGTGTGTGTGTGTGTGTGTGTGTGTGTGTGTGTGTGTGTGTGTGTGTGTGTGTGTGTGTGTGTGTGTGTGTGTGTGTGTGTGTGTGTGTGTGTGTGTGTGTGTGTGTGTGTGTGTGTGTGTGTGAGGCACAGTAACAGGTGCAGGCCGTCACAGAAGCAACACTGTCAGCTACGGCTGCAGGAAGTACTATCACATATACTGCCACAATACGCAAATACACACACACACACACACACACACACACACACACACACACACACACACACGTGAAGACATAAGAGTGTGTCTGAGTGTGTGGTCTGTTTCTACAAAGAGTGTTTCCTGGTATGTTGTATTTAACATACATGTCTTTTTTAAATGTTTGAATTTCAGGTCAACTGTCTCCACGGTTACGGATGTGTTTTTTTAATAAAAAATGAAAAGCACAGCAAAAGCAAAATGTCCCTTATGTGGGAAATCCAGCAGATGCTGTGATACAAAACAAAAGAAAAATATCAAGACGTTTAGGGCAAAAATAAATATTTACATCTGTGCTGAAAGGAAAAGCCTCCCTAGTTTGATTTTTAATTTTTATAAATCCTGTCATGATTAAAATTATCAGCTTTTCACCAAACTTTAAAAATGGCCAATCTAACCTCAAATTTACTAAAACATACAACAGATTACACATGCCAGTAATTATTTAACAAACACAAAACCAATATGTGTGGTATGCAAACGGATTATCAGCTTTATTTACTAATCCTTATCAGAATAAAGGTTTTTGTAAAAGCAGATTTTTTCAATTTGCCGTTCTGAGGCATGCAATACAGGTGTGTTAGGACAATACAGAGAAGTTAAGGCATCACCTTAGAGGAAAACCTGTTGCTCTCCTTCAATCTGGGAAGGGTGAAAAGGTCATTGCATAACCATTCGGAGTTCATCAGGAAAAGATTTTTTTTTTACAAGTGGTAAACATTTAAGACAGCTGTCAGTCTTCCCTGGAGTTAAGTCCCAGCTGGTTCACCTCAAGGTCAGATTGTGCTTGGAGATATTGAAAGAAAAAACACAATAGCTGCATTTTAGACTCTACAGACTATTAGCATGTTAAAGGTCAATGTTTACAGCAGCATAAATTACAAAAGGGTTTCTAATTTTAAAAGGGTTGCAGGAGAAAACGTCTTGTAAGTTAAGTTTAGATTTGTAAAGCTTCTTCTAAAGAGCCCAGAGACATGTGGGACATCCTTTGAAGTCATCAACGAACTCCACTGAAGAGTAAAAACTTGTTTGTCAAATGAGAGGTCCATTAAACATTAAAGCTTGGACCAAACTAGGTCATAAAACAAAGTAATGATCTCAAACTAAAGAAAAATGAAAAGGTACTCAAACAGTCTTAGTGTGACTGAAAAGCTGCAATAAATGTAACACTAGATAGTTTTTAAAACTTTAAGCTAGAGCTTTAACATTAATCCCAGTGTAAGTTTCTAACTGGCTAAGTTAAAAACTTGACCAGTTTCATATCTGACACCACTCTGCAGCCCCCTACTGGCCAGATACTGCAGTTTTGTGGTGCATGTAGATGTTCTAGGGGGCGCTCTGTGTCTGCTTTACTGCTGTTAGCTGTAATGCTAGCAGTTAGCATTTTCAGTTTGTCGAGCATAAATAAAAAGCACAAGAAGAAGAAAAAAAAGTTTGCTTCTCTGTTGGCATCATGGCAGAGCCTGGACATAAAAGTAAGAGAGTAATCTCTTTGGAGGTGAAGCAAAGAGCTAAAACCAGAGTAACCATTGGTACAGCCTACATAGTCTGAGGGAGCTAAAAGAGGCTACACAATCATGGACTCATAGTGACCTGGCTTTGTTGCTTCTGGACTTGTAAGTAAAAATATTTTTTCTCCATCAGTGCGGATCTTTTTACTTAATGGTTTATTTTAGTGTTAGTTGGCTCATGCTAGTGTTAGCTCGTCGTTCGCACTAGCTACTGCAGGCTGCAGCAGAGCTGTTTACAACAGTTGTAATTCCACTTTCAACGAGTAGGGACGGGATCACTGTTACCTTAAGAGAGATATGCAATCCCTGCAAACATCAGTGAGCTAAAATAGGACTGTAAAAAAGTCCTACTTAAAGTCCTAAAAAATGAAGTCTCACAGAAAACACCTACTTTAAGGTATTGATGCTAAAGTCTCTACGAGCTGCAGGATCATATATGGTGAACCTAGTGTGTAAAATACAGCATTTTATTCACACATTTACCCCCTTCAGTCTGGTTATGTAAGACATTGAGTTGCAGGTGATTTCAACATTTTTAAAGCATAAAAAAGGCCAGTTGATGTTTCTCTGGTATGTTCGTGTTTATGTTAATAAAAGATGTTATCTGAAACAGATCAAGGCACTGCTTCCTTTCATGCCTTGTGTCCCAGCACACAGCCTGACATTTGCCCTGCAGACAGCCATCCAGGCGTGCATTTACAATTCATGCATTTATGAAACTGGATGTACTCATCCAGTCTAAATGAATGCATATGCGCACATGCACAAATACACGCTGTTTCATGCAATGTGTGCAAGCACGTCTGCAACACACCGACCTAGCGCAGATATGCAAACATGTGGATCCTACATTTCACGGATACGCAATGTTCTATGAGAGGAGTGTGTGTTACAGAGTGCAAATGCTGTGTCAAGTGTATCGTATGATTGGAGTTTATAGTTGGTGAGCCTGAGCTGCTGCCGACCCAACATCTCCTGCCAGAAAGGAAGAAACTCTCAGATCAACTATGTGTCTTTCTGTGTGTGTCCACTGAAGATCAACATATACAAACATTCATGCCCTAACACATAAACCTGTGCCTTTCTGCAGATATGAAGTTAGGCAGCATGACAGACAGAGCTCTGCAACCACAACACCCAGCCCCGGTAGCCTGTTGCCTTCAAATGTCAACAAGCTGAACAGTATCGGCAGTTGCAACACACATGTCAATTTTTTTCCCAACGGGGAGGTTACTTTTGCACGTCTGAGTCATACACCCGACGTGCAGATGGAAAGGAACAACTTTATCTAAATATAGGACCTTTAAGGATGGCATTCCCCTTGTTGTTTTCCAGTTTTTGAAGGAATCCTCAAATGTACGAGCGTGCATGTCTGCACATATGCGACCAGGGGGACTGCTGTTTGTACAGAGATTTATTAGATAATGTTTGTGAGCGCAGGTCACTTTACACGTGTCCTCGTTGAACTGAGGCAATGAAGGGAAGGCAAGGAGGTGAGTGAAAGTATAGAGTGTTCCTTCTGTGACAGTGTCCAGTTTTTTTTTTATATCCTAAGCAATATTTTAAAATGCTGACAAATTGTTATAAAAAGCCTAATTGTTTGGGTGCTTTTGGAAAATGGCTGCTGTTGTCGAAAGAAGTTTACAAGTTAGGCAATGAAATAGAAAGATTGCCTGAAAAGACACACTTTGATTTCCGTTGTGCATATCTGGCACAAAAAATAAGACCTTGTAAACTCAGCTTCTTGTCTCATGAAACTACCTGTGGTATCAGGGGATTTCAGCTTTTTAAAGACTCTGAGCCTTAACTATTGGTTCATGAGAAAACTGTAAATGGACACCTAAAAGTTTGACCTCAAAAAGGAAAAAAAGCACAGAATAAAAAAGGGTTTTGTCCTGTGATGCTAAAAGGATTGTCCGTCTCTCATTTACAACTTTTACAAAGTTTAAAGGTAACAAATGCACAAAAACAGGCTGAATGTTGTCAACGGCATGTGTTCATGATGCAAGAAATACGGAAATGAAATATCGTTCCTCTAAACCAAACATACCACTCCAAACAGGCGAAATTAGACTTTGTTTTTAAAGGGAAGGTATTCAAATCAAGACCTTCAGCTTGACCTTGAACAAAGTTCTAAAACTGCATCCCTGGTCCCCTGGTGGAGACTTTGGTCCACATCGGTGTTTCACCGAGAAACCATTTTTTACTTCTTATTTTTTGAAAATGATCAGTCTCTGAGTTTTTCATGCCGGCTGATATTTATGATAGAAATTAGGCGAAACTCTAGGATTTAAAAATCTTGACAGATCTACGTCACACTGTCATTTAACATTGATGGACTGACCCATCTTGACTCGCGACGGGGAAGGCTGTTTTGATTTTAGCATCCAGGAAACAGCAGAAAACATCTCAGTTAAGCCTAATTTATACTTCCCTATCTGCATCGGTACGAAAATATGCAACACCATTATGCTTTGGTGCGAGCCCGTTGGAGACATGCCCAACTTTTTAACTATCCGTCGGAAGTGAGGGAGACTGCAAGCTTGCGATTAGTCAGGGCGCCGCTTTCTTTGAGTTTGTCAACAGCACAGCCATTGCACCCTCAAAAAATAAAAAAGATGTTTGGCAGCAGACACGGAACAGATTGAACAATGCATCACAGGAAAAAGTTCGAAACTATGAACGTTTATTCATCCGTGACTGAAGGAGTACAAAGATTTGCAGCAAGCGTTTTACTCGTAGACGTAAATGACGAGAAACGGGTTTAGAGGTGGAGGAGAAGGAGGGACATTTTAGTCCGTGTTAAAAAAGTGTTAAAAATATGAGTGAAGGAACTCTTAAATAAAAGAAATCCAAAAAAGAGTCACCTCAATCTTCCACATACAATCCCACAAAGCCAACCATGTATCTCGCTTTAGTGGCGACTGATCTGT